TTTTAATATCATCATTTATTTCAGGAACCTTAATGTACAGAAAATCAAAATCTATATGCGACACAAAAAATGGAAAGTGTTTTAGAGCTCCCCCTAAATGTCTCAAAGTACTGTAGGCTTTCAGGGGAGCCCAGGTCCTTTTCAGGGGAGCCGAGCTCCCCTTAGCTCCCCCGTAATTCGAACCCTGGCCAACAGTATCTAAATCTATCCTTAAATTCACCTTAGTACTATTGTACTATCACCTCGTTGTACTATGGCATGTTGAGCTAAATGCAGCAACAGTGGGAATGAAAGTCTGATAAAACTTGAAATGTAGTTCAGTCACATGTGTGCAGTCAATGTCACATGTGTGTGTATTAATGACAAGGAAACACAGACACGGTAAGTGCTCCCGCACCCAATGCAGCCCGTGGGAAAAGATACAGAAGCATACTCTTAATATCAAAGCACAGAAACATTGCTGACTTGTTTTTATTAAATGTTACTTTTGAAGAATATTTGCCCAAACTTAAGATGCAACATGAAATATGTTATTTAAAAAGTAGTTGATGTTCCAGTAGCAAAAAAGAAAGTGAATTAACAAACATACTGAAAGACTTACGAAGAGGAGCCCGTGTCCAGGTTTCCACACAGGAAACAGCAAGCAGTCTTTGGATGCTGCATCATCTTATAGGTGTTAAAAAATAAATATAACATATAACATTTTTCTTTTCCCAGGGCCACACTTTTGGTATTGCACATTTCTGTAACACAGTTATCAAAGATAGTGTAACTGCACCCAAATTTGGCATATTGCAATGCTGGGTGTTGCAATATGATAAAACACCATTTGCCAGTCATGTCCCTGTTATGAATACAGCCACAACATCAATCAACTGCTTATTTTCTTGCATAATTAACAGTTATAACGCAGTATTTTTTACACAAATTCCATCCAGGGTTGTGTCTGTTGTTGGCATAAATTGTCCTTATATCTGTCACATTCTCTATAACTTTTAGTAAAACAATTTGGTAATCATAATCAAAAAACAAAAATAGTAAAAACTCAAAACCACCTCTTAAATTTCTGTTTTCTACATATATATTTTAGAATATTTTTATTACTGACAATGAAATAACTAATAGCTCCGGAATTATACTGGGATACAAACTTTATTATTGTTTATTATTGTTCAGTTCTGTGAGTTCGCTTCAGCTCACATTTTGGCTTCCACTTGAAGATGTGTTGGACATGGGTGTGGCTTTTCCCGTTACGGAAAAACTTCAGTGTAATAAGATACGTAGCAAAACTTATGAAATATGAATACATTTTGATACAGTGTGTGAAAAAAAAGGGGAAAATTTAAAGGGGAAAATACTATACCCCAGTAATGTTGAAATCCATTAAATCTGAATACTGTAATTTATATAATTAGAAAAATCTCCAAAATTGACGGACATGTCCCGTCTTCCTGCAGGTTGCAGCCAGAGGCTACTCATTAATTTTTCATTTACTAATAATTGGTGCAAAATGTAATGTTCTCAGTGCGTACAGTACTAACTTTGTACACAATTATGTTTGTATGTTATATAAAAAGGGCTTGATAAGAAATAGTAATTTGACATGCACAGTGTACAGTGCAGTACTGTTTGTTCATAAATTGGTAATATACAGTATAGACTTTTTATATTATCTTTCAGGCTAGCAGACAATGAGATTAGGGTTGCCCAAGTATTATTAGCAAATTTTCACATTCGCAGGCATCTTCTCACCCCGAATCTCGTGAATGTAAAGGGATTATTGTACTTTATGCAGATGAAAGAAAAAGCAAAACTGCAGGGTGCAATGTATGCAAGGCTAGTGTTGATGTCTGAACACAGTAAAATTTGTACAGACTACATGTCTTCAGACTTGTATTCTTTGTAAAGTTTGGTTAATTGCTACTTAAAAGTTTTGTCTGCACTCCATTGTAGCTTTCTACTGAAGACTTATACAGTATGTACTTTTTGAGTAGGAATGGTTAGTCGGGGATATTTTTATAATTAATTTCTTTATTATATTTAATTTGGCTGCAGCACTAAAGGCAGATTATTTGCCATGTTAATCGAAGTGTATTGATACAAATGTCTCATTTAATGCTTAGTAGTTGATAAAGGGGGAATAAAATCAAATTGATATTGGTATTGACAGATAGATACTCAAAATTTTTATATCGGGATTGAACCAGAAAAAAATTATATTGTGTCATTTGTCATTTGTAGTACTAATACTTAAATTATTGATGTTTTGATTTTGTGTGAGTGGTGTAGGCTGGATTGGTCTCAGTTTTTCTTTCATAGCGTAATGTTCTGAATTTTTGACAAAAACTTTGTTTTTTTGCAGGTGAATGTTCCAGATTCCTTGAGACAACAAATCTTATTTTGTGTGTGGCCTTTAGCCCTGAGTAGTGAGACACAAGTAGATGCTGATGCATGGTTTGACAACACACTGAAAGACTACTTGAAATTCCTTACAAAGGATCTGATCAGTTTCTCTGAAATACAAACTGCCAGCTGTCCATCGTTTTGGAAATTGTAAGCACTTTTTTTAAAAAGCTTATTGCTATGCAGAAACTGTCAAAGTGCCACAGACTAGGAATTTTCATAGTAATTTTAATTGAAGTAATAGAGGCAGAACATTTATTGTGCTGGATGGTTCTCCAGTTCTTGTATTACTGGAGAATTTTAATTTTTCAACAGCACATTTTCAGGTGCTCCCTGATTTGTTGGAGAATTTTATTGGAGTTGATTAATAAGTATATTTACTTTTATTGGTTTATTGTTTTTCAGCGTGTCCTACCTTGGAGAGAGTTACAACTACATCAACTCAGACTTTACCCAGAAAGATGTTTATAATACTATTAAAGACTATCTGAACTCAGGTAAATCATTTTTCGCGGAAAAATGCTTTGTTTTTTTATATTTCATAAAAATTGTATTGTTCAGATATGTTAAATGTTAATCTGAGTACCAATCATTACACATGTATTATGTTTGTATTTGTTTCTTTTCATTAAAGGCACAAAGCCAAAATGTTATGATTCTACTGATCCACAAATGAATTCAGCTGCTTGGTTTGTCAATAACCTCAATACATTCATCTCATTCATGTCTTTGGATGATCTCATCTCATTTGTCCCCACTGATGAAGTATGTTGTTTTCCTTTTATACTCACTCAAATAAATGATCAATTCTGCATGTGAATTGTAGTGAACAAATGTGGATGGTCCTGATATACATTCAAAATATATATATAAATGTCTTTTTTGAGTAATGTCTCATTTACCATAATATATTTATTGTTTGTTCTGACAGATGGGATTATTCTTGGTGAACCCTGAAGATATTCAACTCTTTAGCAGCCAAACACTACCTGAGGATGTCGTCTCTTTTTGCACCTCCCAAATTTATAAGTACAGCCCTAATTTTGACCCACTGAAGTAAGTAATTTTGAATAAGTGTATGCTTGTAATCATATTCACAAAATGCAAAGTTTTGAAAGCAAGCATGTCTAATACTAGTTTTTATCCCAGGTGATGGCAAAGCTCTCCTTTTTATCAGTTATATTACTGGCTGTTCATTGAAAACAATGATTATTTGGATAAGTTTAGAGTATATATTTTGTATTAATTCTGTATGTATTCTCTTCTCGGAAACAGATACAGCTAACATTAATGAATTATTACAATTATATTGGGCCAAATCGTTTTAGCCTTAAACAAGAACAAAGCTAGCTAACAAAATGATTACACAGTCTAAATTAATTTTAGTAAATTCAAACTGGTGGGTCAACAGGACTAACCGTAACAGTATGTCATATAATAATAATAATAATAATAATAATACGTAATTTCACTTTTCTTTGTGCTTGTTTTATTTCTCATACTTTAGTCTCCCAGGTCAGTTTCTTTGTAAAGTCCAAATATCAGTGTACATGAATCAAAATCAGACTCAGAGCATCAGTATTCTGAATATACTGAACAAGTTCTGCAATAATTCTGAGGTGAGGGTTCTACTTCTTCATATATATAGAGTACTGTTTATAGTCATGATTACAAACTAACTATGAACACCTTCCTTTCAGAGTGCTGCAGCTTTGGTACAAAATATCCAGACGGTCAATGTAAATACCATCATAAACTTAGGACAGGATAACTCTGCGCTCACAGTCTCACAACTTTCCTCAACTTCAGTCAGTGTTCTTGTGTCCTCTCTACAAACATTGAGTAATGTGAGTGGCTGGAGCCTGGACCAGACCACTGCAATCATACATACCATCACGGCAGGGGGCTATAAGGTAAAGTCATTTTCTTTCATACTACATTCCATTTGTGGTCATCTTTTAGGGGTCAATTCCCCCATGCACTTAAGTCCTAAAAGCATGTAGCTGAGAATGATGCCAACTGTGTTTAGGAACAAATCCATGTACTTCAGCTTTTTTTCCCTCTTAATTCTGTAAACAAACAAATATACCAATAGATACAGTGTTAATGTTGGTATTATTAGTAGAATGGACTGAAAGTTTAGAATGCATTGCTCATAAAATAATAATGATATCAATTGCATAGTCTAAACAAACTTATACTGCTTAGCTTGCGAAGGTTTAATCCAAACCAATTTCTAGTCACTAAAAAAACCACTCGTCTACCCCATTAAGCGTAGAATGGTAACCAATTTGACGAGTGTCCTAGCCCAGGTAGTTTTGTTGTGGACCCTGAACCTAGTGTATCTAGTGTACAGGGGTTACACAATGAAACTGAAAAGTGGTTTTAGACCATAGTAAATTGTTGGTGCACTAGCATATCCACACGTTCTGTCCAAATATATGTCTTTTAATACACAATGAATAAATACTTAGCAAATAATATTCATCCAAATTTGTCATCTACAGATTGACAGTGCTGCCAGCTTGCTGTCGTTGGGAAGTCTAATAAGTGGTGTTCCAACAACAATGTTTGACAGCATTCCCACGTCTGAGATCATCATTACGTCTCAAAATAAAAATTTTATCAATAACATGATCCAAGCACCCGAAATTGTACAGGATGTTTACGTTTCAAAGGTAAGCCAATTATTAACAAAATACTGATTTCAATATCCGAAACTGTAATTTTCAGCAAATATATATATATATATACACGAGTAGTAATTATATTTCAGTTTATATTCTGATTAGTATTGCTTTTGTATCTTCCTTTAAGATTATCACCATCAGTCAAGACCCCAGTAAAATAATGCAGAATGTTCCTGATGAACTGGCCTCGAAAATACCACTACCTCTGTTGGTTTTCTCTGAAAACGATGTTCAAATAACTGCAATCAATGTGAAAGCATGGGATCAAGAACAGGTAATTCAACATAATCTTTCCTTTTACATTTTTTTAATACTGTGGTATGGGTGGAGTGGAGGCTCTGATAGGGATCCATGCCAGCAATTGGAAGGTTGTTGGTTTGAATGCCATTAGTGATTATACTCCGTGGGGCCTTTGAGTAAGGCCCTTAACCTAGAATTGCTTTGTCCTGGGTATGACATTAACCTACATCCAGCCCTGCAAGCAGGTCCTCCAACTCACTGGGAGAATTTGGGGGTTGGTGGCAGGATGCACTGGGAAAATCTCACACTGCTCCATTCGGACTAGTGTGGTGCTGAGGTATCGCCCACTGCATGGCTGCACACAGGTTCTCATCCCTGAGGTGGTTTGTCGTGTGATGGGTGCAGCAATGCGCTGTCCTTACCTCTCTCATACTGTGAAGCTTTTGGACCAATAATGACTGGAGATGTTAAATACTTCGTTTATAAAATTTATAATAATTTTTTGACCATAGATCGCAATATCTCACATTCTGATACAGTATTTCTCATTTGCAGGCTATTGTGTTGTTCGGGACAATTGTAAATGCTACTGAGGATGTTGAAGAGTAAGTATTTATACATATATGCTAATCACTTGCAAAACAGATCTTAAATCTTTGGAAATTTATTATACTGACTATTATTGTTATTAATGCAGTTATTCCAGTTACCATATATAACTATTGTTAAAAGTAATTAAATAACATTTTATATTATTACAGACTTGCACCTTCCATATTGCAAGGATTTACGTGCAATGCAGTGAGCCATCTTGAAGTTTCCAAAGTTACACAGCTCATCCAAGCTTCCAGGTTAAGACCAGACCGGAAAAAAGTGAAGCTAACAGAAACGCAAGTAAGTGTACAATTATTTGTGTATAAATTGAAATTTTGCTAAATACCTGATTTGCAGATTAGGATAAGCTATTTTACATGTAAAATGACACGTGTAAATTGACAGTATAAGGCCTTGTACTTTAAGTGTCATTAATTAATCAAAATGTCTTTCTTTCATAGTTAACTTGCATGAACAGTTACATTCAAGATGAGGAATCGCTTAACTTTACAGAATATCCTTCAGACATGTTGCTATATTATAAGTAAGTTGGTTATGTTGCATGTTATATTGTTTTGTATAATTTGTTAGTGTCAAACTGTTTTTTTTTTTTATTTTTAAAATTAACAAATTTAATCGTTACATAATATAATGCATTATTTTTGCTAGGGATGCACTGATACAAATACTAGCATCGGTATCAGATCCGATACCGTGCTCATGTCCTCGCAGTCATCCTTATGATAATGTGCCGATGCCTATAATCGATACCACATAATGACATACTACTGATCTCATTAACAAGCAAAATAAACAGGACAAAAATTCTGCAGTGCAGAAATACTTCAGAGTTAACAACGAAATCCAAAACATAGCAAACTATGCTCTACTAAACTATCAAGAGGAGGTATGAAATCAGGTTCACACAAGTAATCTAAATTAAACATCTAAACACTAAACATAAGAAATCACGAGTATCATGAAACTGCTACCAGCAGCAACAATCTGCAAAAACCCAATGTGCAGCAAACACTGGCACAGAGAGAGAAAATGTCAAACAATAAACTTTGTGTAGTAAAAATAACAGCAGCTCTTACCCAGAATCAATCTGGTGGTATGCAGAGAGAATAATGCTTTCTTAAGTGTTACACAGTATAAGAAGTTTGTGAACCACTGCTTTAGAGGTTTTAAAGTGACATGATTTTAAATCATAATTAACCCACCAAACCATCGTTTTCCACAGAGATGATAATATGTATATCTATATTGTCTGTATATCATTTTGTCCAGGCTTTCACAGTTTTTTGGGCAAAAAATGTAGTGCCCCACTTGGTGCTGTAGTGGGAGGGTATTTCAATATCATTGTTTCTGCCAATATTTTTAGGTTAAAATATTGCATATTATTTTTAGACATTGAACAGCTGTGATTAGTATCAGTATTGGTGAGTAACAGAAAGTGAGCATCGGTACTCATACTTAGTCTGAAAAAAATGGTATTGGTGCATCTCTAATTTTTACAGTTTATGAAAACTAATAATTAGTAATGAAGAGTATTTGCCATAGCATTTTATGTATAGTGAATTTTAAGTTTTGTATTTTTGGTTTTGTAGCTATGCACAGGTTGGACAACAACAATGTAAGTCGTATTTCACTGCAATTGGAACAGCAGATTTTAGTATCCCCTCTGCAGTCCTCAATATAGATACCACTTTGCTGGATGAGGCGAAAAGCTGTCTTGTGAGTAATACATTTCTTTGATATCTTTGATTTGTGTAAAAACTGCATAGCTGGTTACTTTTGTGTGTACCTCTAAATACGGAAGGAATTACAATGCATAATAATAATACAATGCAAACAATTGCCCATTGTTTGAAATAATACCACCAGGCTTTCAACAAATTTTGTGATTTATTCCAGGGCATTTCAGGCACAATCCTCAGTGCAGACAACGTGGAGGTGCTTGGGAATATGGTCTGTACACTTAATGGGTCCTATATTGAGAACTCTGATTCCCTGATCCTGGAGAAACTAAAGAACTGTAACAACTTCTCAATGGACCAAGTCACAGCTATGGAGAATCTGCTGTTTACTGGTGCAACCAAATATGGGTATTAAACATAGATATTGCTAAATAAAGCATATTTTCCATCATACATTAATCTTTCAATAACTCCTGGTCAGCGTCATGGAGTAAAGTATATTCTTGTTCATTTAAATAGACAAAGAAAAGATGTCAATATATAAATTATGAAAATAGATGATGGAAGTATGAAATATATGCATATAAATCTAATGTTTAAGTATATATATTTTTAATATATATATTTTTTTCTTTTCCATTTTAGAAATGCCTCAGCATGGAATGTACAAACCCTGTACAATCTTGAAACACTTCCATTGTACCTAACAACGCAATTCTGGAGCATGTTCGGACAGGTATGTTTTTCAAAAAGTAACTTTTATTTCTAATGGTTGAAAATTATTAAGAAGAAACCAACAATGCTGTTTGTTTTTGGCAGTCTGTGAAACAACAGTTCCTGAGGTCATTCCTGCCACAATTAAGGAAAAATGGAGTTGACATAGAAAAACTGAGAAATTTGTTTGAGATGCTGAATTCTGTTAGAAGTAAACGGGCTGCAGGTAAGTTTATTTAACTTCTTTATCAAAATATATATTCTATGACATTTTCAAATAAATGTTAACTATGCTTGTTTTTTCATATCACAGAATGCAATGGTAACAGCATTACTCAGATTCAAATAAACGACGCATCTTTCCCGTTCGGATTTGGGTTGACGGACTTCAACTGTATGGATGTTAAGCTTGTGATAGACAATTTGGCAACCTTGGCAACAAAAGTTGTTGCTACAGACCTTCAGAAAGCTGTTCTCGCCAAATTAAACCAGGCAATTAATTTCAATTCGTTTAATTTTTTCTATTGCATCTATTGACAAATTTACTGCTGTCAATATAAAGATTATGACCACTTATAATAAAAGATGATCAAGAACCGTAAATGTATATAAACAATGTAATGTTGTTCTTGTCATCCAGGCATACCCTTCAGGTATTCCAGATGGAAATGTTCAATTGCTTGGGTCAATTTCCCATGTGGCTTCATTAAGTGACATCAATAAATGGAACATCACTACAATTGATACACTGTCTGCTTTGATGAACCCGTCTCTCGGACAATGGGAACCAGATATGGTGATAATTCAGTGTTCTTCTGCTTTATTATTATTATTATTATTATTGTTGTTGTTGTTGTTGTTGATGATGTTGCTCTTGTTGTATTTTAGAGTAAGGCCATCATCACAAAGTACTTAGGAACTGCAGGCAAAAGTCTGGGAACACTTGAATTGAATTCAATCGGTGGACAAAACCTGTGTTGTCTGGATGTCAGTATACTTGAGACCATAAATTCAAGCAGCCTTGGGTAAGAAATGCCCCTGTAATAATGGGATAATGTTGAATTATACTTGAACAAGAGACTTCATGTGAATTTTTACCATTTTTTCCCAACAGCTATGCCAAACCTTTAGATATATCATCTTGCACCACTCAGCAAAAGAATCTGCTCTACCAAAAAGCCATCACCTTCTTTAGCACTTACAAGAGTAAAACTGATGCTTTTTATCAATTAACCAGGCCGTATCTAGGTAAGACATAATTATAATACATATATAAGTGCATAGTCTACGTAAGCTTATTTGTGTGTGAAAGTAAAGTTTATCTAGTGGCAATATAAATAAAAATATTTTCAATCCTGTATAACCATTAATTTGACTGTCCTCTAAATCGCTCCTGTGAAAGGCATAACACCTTGGAAAACTGAACCAAGGTTTTCAGCATCAAACATTATAAAATAAATAATGGACTACTGTTCAGTAAAACTAAAATTCAATTAAATCCAAAAGAGGGTTTAGGGGCACACAACTTTCTAAATATCAAAGAAAATAAGGAGGCAAGCAAACAAAATAATACCTCTCTGCCTGGTCTGGTTCACTGCCAAAACCTAGTGGCTATTTTACAGATTTTTTATTCTTATTGTAATCAATAATACTTATTATTAAGGCAGTCACATTGCGCATACCCAAAACACATCAAAATAGCACACTTTGTAGTGATTCAGTACTGTAAATAACCCTTCATACGGCTGTTTACTAATATTAATTTTGCAATTATAGGTGGTGCGAATCTGCCAGACATAAGGAATCTCTCTGTCATGAAAATAAGCATGGATATATTGACTTTCCAGAACCTTAACACAGATGTTATCATGGTTAGTTTGCATTTTTCAACATTTTAACATTCTAAGTTTAAATATACTTCCAATGATATTTTGTACAAAGTGTACAATTACTTATTCATTTGCCAAGAAAAACATTGTGATTAATGCAAGTATCATTTTCTTTTTTAAGAATCTTACTGTGAAAGAAGTGCAAGGCCTCCTGGGTACATGCTTACCTGATCTGAAAACTTTTAAGAATGTTTCAATACTACATCAATGGATTGCAAATCAGTTTCAATCTGACCTGAACACCCTGAAAATTGGCCTCACTGGAGGAAGATCAGGACCTGTTCCAACAACTGCACCAGCTGGCAATTCTGCAAATAACTCCACAAAAAGCACAACCGCAACAACAACAAAACATGCATCTACAGCTGGTAACATTTGTGTAGTTGTATTTAAATATTCGAGGTGTTACGTGATATTTGGTGGAATTACAAATAACTTTTTTTTCTTCTCATTCTGCAGGCAACGGGATCACGAACCCAAATAATGGAGGAATGCACCTAGCATCAAAACGTTGGGCTTTAACTGTTCTTATTGGGATAATCATAATTTCTGTGCAGTTGTTGTGGTGATTTTAATGTAGAATTGTACCTACAAAAGAAGCAATACATTCCTATTGTTATGCTGAATTGTAACAAGTAAATTAATCATTTGATCTTTGTACTCTTTAAAGTGTTCTTAAAAGTTTCACTCATGATTTTTATTATGATTTTAAAGGGCAAAATGGTATCTTGACAATGTTTTCACTAACAATTATATAGTACAATTACACATTATATGGTTATATAGTACACAATTTAGTCTTCTGTTAAGTGTGTTATCTATTAAGTAATCATGTAAACTTAGAGTAAAGATGTGTGAAATAAATAAAGTAAACATAATGTAACATCTATCAAATTTTAGAAAAAAACACATTCAAAATTTGTTATGGGAAAAAATGTTCCTTTCTTTCAATAAAATAAACATTTAACTCTAACCAGTCACTGTCTTTCAACATATTGTATCTGCATTATTATTGTTGTTTTATCATGGAATATCTGTCATTTTAGCTATCCCTTCATTTTCCCTATCTGCATATTGAGGAAGTATGGGGCACAGAAGTAGCAATTTTGAGACACAGAAGTTTCATATAACTTGATTCAGTACAGTAGCTCTGGCAGTAGCAGTAGTGCTCCCCTGTGGGCGGAGTTTACATGCAGTTAGGCAAACTGGCGTTTGTTTTAAATTTCCTTTATTGTATGATTGTGTGTGTGGGTGTATGTATGTGTGAGATCCCTGCCTTGGATAGGCATGCCATTCAGGGTCTACCCCAAGACTGTGCCCTGTGCTTCCTGTGATAGGGTCCAAACCCTCTCCCTCCAAAACTCTTAATGAACAAGATGTAAGGTGGTGTTTGATGAAAAACTTCACCATCACCTCAGGTAATGGTACTCAGATGACTAATAATTAAGCTTATTATAAACAAGGGAGATCTCAGGACAGTTTGGGATTCTAGGCTATGTGTGTTACAAAATCTGGGATCGGACACTGCTGTGGTTTATTTCCTTTGATACTTTCCATCCATTTTCTGTAAACACTTATCCTATTCAGGGTCAAGGGGTTCAGGAGCTGTCCTGGAGGTTGCGGGCACAGGGCAGGGAAGCTCTTGTGTTGATTACAGCCAGGAAGGAATACTGTTGTTGTCAGTTCAAAATCTTTAATAGAGGCCTAAATTAACACATGATAAAAGCATATCAATATAAATGGTATTGTGTCACCTGTATCTCATTTTGAAAATATACCGATATACTGTAAATATTTGATATACCACCCAGCCCTAATGGTCCATCTTGCTTCCTTGTTCCCCAGAAATGTCCATTGTGCTGTAACTGAATTTGCAGCATTTTGTTCTGCATGTATTTTAAGAATTTCAAAGTGATTTCCGAATTGGCAGAATATTGCCCTTAAGGGCCACTGTACCATTGGTTTCATTGAATCACTCCTGGTCCACCATCTTGTCAAATCAATTATGATTGGGAAGGCGGGCTTCATCAAAGATAACCAATCAGGAACTGAGAATTTAGTACCATTTCTATAGTCAAACTCCTTTCCATTGCAATCAGACTTTGTCACATACTGTATACCACTATTCTCATTCACAAATAGTATCATTCTGTCTTATCATCTTGGTCCTTGCACATGATTATTTACATTCACATGTACTATTTATTTCTGTTACATATGCTCTTATTTGATTTCAAATATTATATTCTCATACATATATTTGTTTCATATACACAACTAACTACCTTTACCCACACATACTGTTATCCTGTCACACTGACAATCAAGCAAGCATATAATGTGTTTAGGTATATAATATGTGCAGGCATATAATGTGTGTAGCTATAGTTTTTTTTTGTGCAAAAGAGAACAGTGTTGTATGTATGAGAGAATGACAGGAAATACGAATATGATATATAGAGTAAGGTGCGTATTAGGGCTGCAACAACTAATCGATTAAAATCAACTATTTAAATAGTTAGCAACTAATTTAATAATCGATTAGTTGGGTCTATGTTATTATACACGTAATTACAGTGGCTGCCCCCTAATTTGGGAGCAATAAGCTAACCAAAGCCGTGTTAGCAGTAAAGCACCATTAAGCTGGATGCTGACCGCCATAAAAGAAAAAGGAGACGAGAACCAATGCCGTGCCTTGAGTAGCTTACGTGATGAATTCTGGAAGAATTTAAAAAAACGTTTGAAAAATGGCGGAGGCGGACACAGGAGAGTCTTGTTTTAATTCTTCCAGAAACGGTAGTATTTGACGATAATTAGCTGAAATTAGGTCGGAGAGACATATGTATTATGTGACGTTGTGGAGTTTTTGGATTATTTTATGCAATTATTCAGATTAATTAACGCAAATCATTCAGTGGTGTAGTGGAGGGTAAATGCACATAAACGCCGTTTACGCACCTTTTTTTAGATCACTATGTTAAGGGATATGAATAGTTACCCACCGTTTTTACTGCTGTCACTGTGCATATAATTTACCCACCTTAAATTTCTTGTTAACTACTATACCATTGCTTCATTTCTTCATGATAGAAATTTAGAGTAATATCAAATGTTGTGGTACTCAAGACCAGTTTTTGAAGGTCTCGATCTTGTCTTTGAATCAGCCGTATTTGTACTCGTTCTTAATTGTTATGGACTAAGGGTTTTATTTCGAGACCAGCCGAGACCACAACTCTGAGAATATTCTAGTTATGGCCGATTTGCGAACGAATCGTTCTTTCTAACTCGGTTTTTTTAGGGAACGGGTTGAACCGATTCCTAAGTCTGAACGAATCGATTTTTAAAATTATTTTAAAACGTTTTTAAAACTGATCTTTGGCTATTCAACATCCAAAAGCATCCCCCACGATTTCGGATTTTTCATGTTCCGTTTGCGCTTGTCTTATCACATTTAGGTTTATTCTTATGTTCGTCAATTACATTCGTCATTTTTGCGTTCGTAGACTTCCGCCTGGTGCCGAGAACACCCGAACGGCCGAGTAGGCTACCTGGTCTCTAACTCGCTGACTCCAAAAAACCTGAGAGCCTGTTCGATGAACGAATCGAACATGCGGGTTGTCGGACACTGGGTGACTAAAAAAAATCTGTTCGATGAACGAATCGGGTTTTCAGACACTCGGTCGGTGAATCAAAAGAACGGTTGGCGAACCCATCCCAAGAGCCCTCGCGGCGTTTACTGCGGAAATGCAGTTACGCTGTTAAAAGGAATAAAATAAACGCAGCTCTTCATCATTTATCACAGCAGTAAATTATTGCATTTATGTATAATAAAACTATATGTCTTTCATCAAAGAACAAACTAAGATATTTATTAACTTTGACGTTTACACAACAACGTATGCAAGTTTACTCATGCTCATTGTATGTGTATGTGTGATTGTATTGGTAATATTGCAGTTGTTAACTGTGATGTAGTCCTCGATACTCATGCACATGAATTTGGCTTAAGTAAAGAAAATAAGAAATATATATACACGCGTGATTAATCAGCATCGACACCCTTTCTGTTTTTTATATATTATTTTTTTATTGTGAATAGTCAAGTTCAACATTTTTGTTGAACACCAGCGCTCTCTTTCATTCAAATAAAGTAACCTTGAGAAATGTATTATACGATCCTATGATTCGATCGTTGAGTCATATATGTATGGTCTGCACAAAAAAAGACGAAAAAAAAGTGAATCATAGAATCGGTTTTAGAATCGATTCATTACAACCGACAGTTCGAAAGAATCGAATCAGTTAATTGAGCCGAACTTCCCATCACTAGAATATTCCTATTAATGAGCCGTTTACTGTCGGATTGGATAACTTCGCACTTCAAGTGCAACCAATGACGTTACTGCCGACCGCTTTACCCGCCCCGCCCCTTCACACACGCGCATGTGTGCACATGAACACAGGTGAAGTCGTGATTGTACGAGAAAGATGTCAACACAATCGGCTATTATCAAATGTGGCTACATATACCACAAAGTGTTTACCCTACCATTCTATTAGGCGGGTGCCCCAAGTTAATTTTTATTTAATTTTATTTTCTATATAGCGCCAGATCACAACGGAAGTCATTTACGGCTACCTTTCCAATACAACAGGTGTATATCTTGTCCTTTTATTAAACAAACTTATTTACAGTTCATCACTGTAGTATGCGCATACAATCGGACATGTTTTTAAAACGAAATTTGCCGCCTGCCGTTCGCGGGTTTTTACTCACCAATCGTCTTATTTGCGCCGTTCAGTCACTAAAATCTATGGCGTTTCACGAGAGCGCAAGCCGGTGCATTTTTAACGTAAAATGCGGAAAAGGCTTTTTCTCCGCAATAAATGTTTACTTTCTTTGTCCGTAATAAATGCAGACAGACTCCCTCGCGTGCTCTCTCCCCGTCACATATGTGTATCCAGTGGTGGAATGTAACAAAGTATTTATACTTCGTTACTGTACTTAAGTACATTTTTATGTATCTGTACTTTACTTAAGTAAAAATAATAATGCATACTTTTTATTTTACTCCATTACATTTTGCGGCAATTATCTGTACTTTCTACTCCACTACATTTCTACAATTTATGCCGTTACTCGTTACATTTTCTGAACGCGATTTCCTCAAA